CAAGTTGATGTATACACAAATTTAATCAGCAGTAGCCGTCAAGCAACAAACAAATTCCGCTTGCATGAGGTTTAAATTGGCTGGAAAAATACCAAAGAAGAGAAGACCTTGCCGATCGTTCCATACCGGCGATGCAGATCTTCAGATCAGGCCAGATTGCGGTGGGCAAGGGAACTGCAGCGGAAGCGGGACACAGCTATGGTAAGGAGGACGGGGGAGCAGATATAGGGCGGGGTCTGCTGAGTTCTGCCAGAAAAATGATCGTGACAACGTTTGTGCGGGCACGTTGTGCTGCCCCAAAACAGAATACATTAATTGACACTTGGCCGGAAATAGTTCATTAGGCATAAACTACGTACAGACAAAGCGTATTCATTCTGCTGTGGCTCTCTGTTCGCCATTTACCTCCCTGGCTGTTCGGGTTGCTGATTGCAGTTACTGGATTTCAGCGGCTTAAATGCTCGGGGGACAAAATAGACAAACTCAGACGGTTTTATCTGTGCTGCAACTCACGCATACGCATTCCCTCAGTCGCCCTCTCTCTCCAACTCTCTAAGACCCTCCCTGTCGCTCTTTGGCAAGACCAACATGTGTGATCCAAATGTTCGTTTGTAAATTCTACAAACGAGGAAATACGATAATGAACCGAACTTCGGACTCTATAACTAAACTGCAGCAAACGAAGGCAGCAAAAGACGGCGGCCACAAAACACACAGTGACTGAAACTGAACCTCCCTTTCCACTGTTCGTTCCTTAAGCGCGGTCGAGTCCCCTCCCCGAAATATTTAGAATCCGGTCGAAAGAAGACTACTGATGTATTTGGACTTGCAAATGGATCCACGCCGATCTGAGGACCATCATACCGAGTATCCCTTAGATTCGTTTTTTATGAATACTTTATTTCAGCGTAATCAAAATATGTCCGTGTATCATTGTATCATTATACTATTTAAATCTTTGAAACAAATGATATTTCGGAAATATCATGAGGTCGTGCTGAAAGTACGGACAGTATTTTTGGTACTGTTTTAGCCCCTAAAGTTATTTTATTTTAATAATATTTTCGGTACTGGTTAGCCCCTAAGCTTATTTTATTTTAATAATTCTTATTTTGTTACTTTCATATTTCGATTATCATAAATCAACTAAGTTTATAAATTAATAAATAAAAATGAGTAAATATTTAGACCATTTAATATAAAATATTAACTCAAAGTCATTTATTATAGTTTAAAAAAACTAATTATTTTGTTTGACTAAAAATTGTTTTTGTAGTTTCCAAAAACGATTTCTTAGTTGCATACCAACTTTTATAAATTATATTATCATTTATTTATGTACATATTGTGTGTACATACATATACATAAACATACATATTGTGTATACACTTCAAATGAGAGAGAGAAAATTAGTCATTATTAAAATATTTCACCATAAATGTTCAATTTATAAAAGCTAATATACCCATTTACCTCGCGTGCTATCGAACCTCTGACCCAATGATTCTTCATCGACTCACTCTAAATTGCTAGGAACGTTTTAAACGTTTTCGACGCAGTCTTTCAAAAACTACAAATTGCGGTCAAAATAACAGTAGAGTGACAATGTGACGAGCTCTAAAGCATACCATTAAGGCTTAGGACAACATTTATTTATTTTAGCCTTGACGATAGATCGCCGTATCGATGTTCCAGAAATAATAGAAAACATCGATTAGATATTTTCCACAACGATCTCTACATCAATGTGACGATGTCTCGCGATGAAATATTATATTTGTGTTTGGCTGCAACGTCTTTTAATTCAGAACGGATTTTTATACGGGTATGACATTACATTGTTCGCCTCATTCATCGACGAATTTATTGAAGCTCAGAGACAGAGACAACTATATGGATACTGCTTGAGTTTTTTTGGTTATAAGTTCACGGTCACACTGCCTTTTAACGTTAAATTCAAACTTTATGGATGTGTTTATTATATTGCGTTTATCCCGCAAATTTTAACTTTTAAAGGTTTTTATTTGTTACATTTTAATGGTAAAAAATATTTCGTATACATGGATCGATGGATCGATATTTTTTTTGTCAAAACATCGGAAACGTCGATTTTTTATTTCAAATAATAAATATTTATCTTATTAGGAAAAGACATTATAACTAAAATTATTTTGTAACTGCAAGGTTTTTAATTAATTGTTAATATGAGAAAAATACTTTTAGCTATAGCTTGGTAATTATTTGTATAAAAAATATAATGTCAGTAAGTAAGGAGTAAGGAGCCATTTAAATTTTTTTTATACCTTTATAGCACAGTACCATTTAATCGGTATATAGGTTTGATCAAAACATCGCATTCCGGTGCGATTACTTGACGACCATTCACACAGATAAAGCAATTCTTATTATAAATGAAGGTACTTTTAAAAGTATATATAAATTCCGGATCTGCCGTCCGTTTATAAGCCAACTCTAAGTTCTTTAGCTATCTGAATAAAGTCAGAACGAACCGGATTTGACGAATATGTCATGTTGCTCTTATAGGAACAATCGGAAAAATAAATAAATAATATAATAACCTGGCTGTTTTCCAATTTATACGAACAGTAATATTACGAGATAATGTCACTTTTTCAGACTACGGTTTTAATTTTATAAAACTAGAAATTTAGTCGTTGAAAAGAAGGAAAAAATATTTTACTTTTGTAATAAGCATTATAATATTTTTTTTAAGGGTTGTCTTATTTTGCATTCTTTCTAATTGGTAGATGGCCAATATTAATTATCATCGCTAAAATCGCTTAATTTAGTTTTGTTATTTGTCACGACGTAAATTATTTTTATTAAAGCAAAATATAAATAATTATATATTAAATATTAGGCAACAGGCCTTTAAAAATTTTACGTTTTTAATGCTTAGTGTTAGGTCGTCTATACTAAGCACTTTACTTTTTACTTTACTCTACACAGAAATTGTTCAAAAACAATGCAATTCGGAGCATTTTCAAACCAGATAATTAATAATTGTGTTGGAATTCGTAGTTGTGTACATATATATACAAAAGTTAAGATGGTTGACCTGTGACAAACTTTTAAATAGCGATTTGTTTTTTCATTCGAATTTCAAATTTATAAAATGATGTATTGTAAAAAAATGTGTGTGAAACCAGCTGAGTTTGCTGCTGGCTGGGAAGCGTCAGCCTCCGTTTTAATGATCCATCACGTCCTCAAGCCTTAAAAACGTTTTTCCCGTATCCGTGTTTTTCAAGGTGGTGTGCAGGATTGCGAAAAATATATTCGATAAATCAAGCTGAAATTTCGAGTGGTCAACTTAAATGCATAATCCGAGGTTATACCTCATAAAAAACATAAAAAACAATTTTGTTACACTGTGTGTAGATTACATGGTCTGATATTTAGCCCGGCTTCTTCCGTTCAAAAGATATTTAAATTTTATTTTTATTTACAATTTTTTTTGATAAACATTTTTTTATAAAAATTTAAAAGTTATTAATATTTTCAAATTTTAAAATAAAAAATTGAAAATTGTAAAAAGTTATGGTTCAATCTGTATAAAAAAATTTAAATTTAAAAATTGTTGTGGATTTTTATTATTTAATACAAGTTTAAAATTTAAAAATGATTTGAAGTTAAAATAATAATTGTTTCCTGTTTAAATATAGTTTTTAATTGCCGGAAATCACACCTTTTAAGTTAATGAATATTTAATTATAAATAATTAAGTTATATATATTTTTATATCGTTCCTATAACAGCTAAAGCTGTAAATAAACCCAAAAAAAAATTCTAAGGTAATTTGTACTCATAAAAACTCGAGTTAAAGGCGTGTACAGCTGCAGTCAAAAAAAAAGTAATTTTTTAGCTAATGGAAAAGCCAAATGAAAATATTTTTAAATTATTTACTGAAATGTACAGAAAATGAAAAAAAAACGCAGTTAAAAAACAATTTAATTAAATGTATATTTTGACAACACTCTTAAAACTATTTCTCGTGAACCAATCCATTTTCTTAAGCTTAATACGCTCACCTCTTAAAAATACTACCTTCTCTTCGGAAAATCATTAATTCTGATTGGACCATAAAAGCAGATTTTTAATTCAACATGAATGTCAACATAACACATTAAAAAATTATTGAATAAAAAAAAGGATTGGCCAATACAGTTAACTTTTCAAAGCATACATTCGTACAATCGTGCTTTTTACAAGGCCCATTAAAAGAATAATACGCCGTAAACTTCTTTAAGTTCAGTTTCCCTATAACTCGTTGTTGTTTGGTAGCAGACGGCGGTTTGGCTGTGGAGTTTCCAATGTATTCATTTTGGTCCGAAACTAGTATCGCAAGAAAAGATTTTGTCAGCTAACATTCAACTGCATGTTCTATTTCAGCCTTATTAAATTTCCAATTCAAATCGCAGCCAGAAAGCCCAAAGTGCAGGGTATTCCGCAAACAGCCGCCAAGAAGGGCGATCGAAAACATGCAGTGTGTTCTCTGTTCCCCTCAACAATCCACAAAAACCCACACAAATACAACCGTCGGCCCCTGGAAACCGAGGGCGAACGCGTCAACGGATTTTTGTGTTACACACGTTTTTTTGTTTTGTTCTGCACGGCTGTATATGTAACTGTGTGTGTGAGTCCGCTTTTCGCTCGCTTTTACTTTCTGCTGCTTGTGATTGCGATTGCAATTAAACGGCGTTTTCCATCCAGAGAGTCGCGCTCTCCGGAGCGCCGAGAGAGCGCTTTTGGACCCGTTGCCTGGGCTTGGATCAGCTAGCAGAGGGCTGCGACGCCGACGCAGATAACGGGAACGGTGGCGAACGAGAGCGGGCTGAGCGGAGCGAGTTGGCTCTCATGGCGAGTGCGCGTGATTTTCTGGCTCTGAAATGCGGGCTTGCTGTCAACTGCGCTGCCGGCTCGCCGTCGACGCTGGCGCAGAGCGGCCGTTTGCTGTGGTGGTTGTTATTTTTGGTCTTGGTTTGATTTTTATTCGTCGTTTAAACTTGGTTGTGAGAGGGTAGCAGCTGAGCCCCGTAACTAGTCGCCCGCGATAGCGTCCCCGTCGCCGTTTAAACTTGGTCGCGAGAGGGTCGCAGCCCCCAGTCCCTTTACTAATCGCCCGCGATCGTGTTTCAGAAAGTGAAAGCACAGTGAGACACCTGGCCAGCACAAGTCTGCAGATCCAGATCCTCCAGCATATTCTCATGGCCCCTGTGAGCGGCTGTTCGCCCACCGCCACCCACTCTCTGCAGGACATGAGCGCCGCTGCCGCGGCCATCGCTCTTGACATGAAGCCCAAGGGGGAGTGCCACCCCTTGGCCGCCGTCACTGCCACTGCCCTGCCCTCGCAGAAAATCAAGAAACGTGCGTACCTAGACTTAGGTCGAAGTTCCAGAAGTCGAACGAGTTATATTATTTGTTCTCTTGATTAGGAGTTAGGGAAGTGCAAGTTATGGATGTTCCACTGTATGTATCCATGTATGTAAACTGCATACTATGCATGCAGTTTGGCAACATAATATCTTCAAAATGAAAGAGATCTTAGAACCATGTTAAATAGGATTATTTCCATTTTGTTTTTTTAATGTTTCTAGGATAAGGTTTAGATTTTAATATGAATATACATATACCTATACGTATACATATACATATGTATGTGCATACATACATATCAATGTACATTTGTATTTGCCATTGTTTCTTGATACAATGAACTGACAATAACCCAGGAGTTTCACTGCATCAAATTCCAATGTTTGTTTACTTTAATTGATAAATTATTTTATTTTTACTCTATAAACTAAAGGGGCTATCTTATCAATTTAGACTTTTTCTCATTTCAATCATCTTATTACTGATGTCAACAGTGGTGCGGCGCAACGCCTCCGACAAGCTGAAGCTTATCCAAATGGTCCACGACAACCCAATTCTGTGGGATTCACGCCTCCCGAACTTCAAGGGCGCTGAGGAGGAGAAGAACCGCGCCTGGGAGCACATAGGTCGCGAGTTCAATGCTCCAGGGCGACGAGTGGCGCGGGCCTTCAAGTCGCTAAGAGAATCCTACCGTCGTGAACTGGCCCATGTCAAGCTGATGGGTAATGGCTTTAAGCCTAAATGGAGTCTTTACGAGGCCATGGACTTTCTGCGCGACGTCATCAGAGAGAGAAAGTGAGTACTACGAGAACTAAGCATATCATTGCAGTTAAAACACAAACATACATAGACATCTAATTTATTCAACTATTTGGCCGGATCATTTATATATGCAGATATAGTAAGTTTACGACCCAAACCAGAGCAAAAGAAAAGGCCTATCTTTGCGTTTAAAACACATATTATTGTTTTAATAAATTCGGTATTACAACTTACTTGAAATACATTAACCGTTAAATATAAAAACAACTAAATAAGCGGTAAACATACTCCGAAAAGTTCAATCGATCGGATCAACACTTTCAGTGATATACAATAGCTTTTAAAAGTTTTCATAAAGCGACCTTTTATGAATCCGAGTGGATTTGTTTACAATTAAACTGTCAATCGAATTTTAATGTAATTAAGGTTGGCATTCAGATTTATTAACTACATATTATTATGTAATAAGTTGCAAAGTGGTGGAGGAGAATTTGGGAGTACAAAATCAAAAACCATATACTTCTTATTTGTATAAACTTGGCATTATCTGAATAAATAGCAATTACCATGTTTTTTTTTTGATAAAATATATCGTTTTACATATTCAAGTTATAAATGTTAACCGTTCGATAAACTTCTAGCCATCAATCAAGTTATGAGCAAGGGTTAAAGTGCAGCTTGAATCATGTATGCATGCATGTGAGTTTGAGCTTCTCAGACAAGGCTTGATTCATGTTGAACTGAGAACTGTAAACTTGAGTCTAGCAGACTACGTCCCTAGATGACTCACCCTCCTCCCACCGATTTTGTTCATAAAGTCGAAAAGATTGTGAGTGGTTTTTGTGCCCGCACATGCAATGGTTTTTCCAAGTGTGGCCGTTTCTCCCTCTATGCATGTATGTATATACATAACTACGTACGTAGTTTGTTTCCAGTAATCAGTGAAGCGAACTATGCTTAACGGGCTCAATCAAAAATTATTGCAGGGTAATTCCTCGAAGCTTATCGTTTCTCATGGAAGAAGCTTCTGATTAAGGCAACTGAACAAGACTTAAGTGGGGCTATCATTTTGTTAGTCATAAATTAGAATTTGCAAAATACATTTGTAAATCGCTAAATATCGCAAAAGAGAATTAGTGCCGGTTTTTAAGCGATTGAACAATGTATATAAAATAATTAAGTTTAATGTTTCAGTAAAAAATTAGAGAACAAAATTTGGATTGGGTGGAAGAAATCTGTTAAGAAATCGGGCGTACATTTAGATGCCAATAAAATTAATAATATCCTGTAAATATCCGTAATCCACTTTATGAACAATTCCCTATGAGCCTTTATACACAACGCATCCCACTAAGCCCTGTTGATTTGCATAAATACCCAGCAAGTCAGATGATTCTCAGCTAAGTGTCTGAAAAAAACATTTGCCCAGCGAAAAATAAAAGCAAATACAACGCACAGGGGCATATGGACACTAAGGAGCGGTAATGTCGAAAAAACCAATCCGAACAAAGAAATGACCGGGCCGGAGACCCGCAAATAGTCTCAGTCGAGAGTCTGCCCCGACCAATGTTCTGGCTCATATGGAGCCGTGCTCGAGCTGCGGCTGTGTGTTTTGTACTTTATGTATGTACATATTTATATGAAATAAGGCCATTTCCTTTCAATTGACTGTACCCACATGGGCAACAAGCAGTCGACGGCCCCGACACATGCCCGCGCACACTTACCCATGGTGTGTGTATATATTTAAATTTTATTATTTTGAGCTGATAACACACAGCTCAACGGGCCCGTCCAGTCGGGCAGCGCTTGAGCCGGAGCTATAGCCGCAGCTATTGCCATAGCCATAAAACAGATCTCGCCAAGCATACAACGGCGCAAGCAAATTGAGGGAAGCTGCAAACGCAAGACCAAAAAAATACATATACTGCTGGAGTGGCGGTGGCAGGGGCTTTGGGGAAGGCGGCGAGAGAGCGATAAATTAATGAGAGCACTACGAAAATAACAATCAGCACTGAAGAATACGGACTGCGAGTGGACCAAGTTAGGAAAGAATCGTCGTCGCGATCGGGGATCGGGGATCGGGAAAGGGGCTAGTGAGGGAAAATGAGCGAGGTTCTGTTTATATGTATGTATGTGTATCAAATATACATATATACAGATAAGAGTATGTGTGAGCAATTGAACGAATCGCTCGGCCCGGCTTCGGCCAGGGTTAAAAATATGCCCGTTAACCAGCCTAGTCGGTCCCGGCCAAGGGGTTGCTCTGACCCAGAGACGGGGCCTGGGGCCCTATGCCCACATTTACTCTTTACTCAGTTCTCTCTCGATCTGAGTCTGTCGTACCTACACACACGACGCCACTTGGGTGTGAACGTTCTGTCGAGCTCTGTCTGTGTCACGCTTATGATTTAATAAGCAAATGAGCTGCGAAATTGTTGAAATTGTTTGGCTCTCCGTCATCCCCACCGTCCGAATCTCGCACCACGCCCCGAAATCACTGTCCGGCGAATTTGGTCTTGGAATGCTTTAGCCAATGCGTCACTGGGGAAAAGTGGGCGTGAGCGCGTACTTGCCCTTTGTTTCCTTGCGGTGGGGGTTTTTAAACATCTTGGGAGTAAAGCTTATCACAGGATTTGTATATATTGGCAATGGGAGTGCTTTAGCCATTTAGATATGATAATCGTCATTTTTAATAAAATGGTTTTTTAGTGGAATTTGACAAAATCTATAAATAGACTACAAACCTCGAAAACCAACCATAAATGGTTTGGGACCTGGGTCGGAGCGGAAGCAAATATTGATAAGCCGAGCGTTTTAAAACTTGAAAAGAAACCATACCACATTAGAGTCAAGACCTTAAAAGCCGCAAACAAATAGAGCCGTTCCCGATTGTGGAACATGTGAAAATACATTTCGCCGTGATTAGTCCTGCGGGCTATTTCGGCTTGGCAGGCGAGTATCAGTTTTCAAATTTTCCAATTGACAACTACCTGCGGGTTATTTATATATGTGATAAGCTAGGGGCGACAACGTCTGCGAAGAATGGAAAACGCGCTGTCCCTACGGTTGGCAGCCAACTGGGCCAGACCGCGACATTTGGCAAATATCCGAAGAGATGGGAAAGACCGAAAATAGCCACGTTCAGACGTTTCTGAGCACCCGCCCTTAGGGCAGCTGCATTTAATGGGAAAATGCGCTTGAAACTTGAGATGCGTTCAGGGAGAGACAGGAAACCATAATACTTGTTTGGGACATCGAAATAATTTTTTTTGTTCTCTGCAGTTCTGTTTTGTTCCGTCTTCTTATATTAGTGCGTTGAAACGTATTTTGGGGTTTGTATGCTTGAGTTTCCATGTTGGAGCTGTGTGTATTCTTGGGATGAACATATTTTTCGGTAATTCCACAAGGCGCATATAACTCAAAAATCATGCTTAACTCTATCTTGAGCTTATTAATTATAAACATCTCTAGCTATACTTGGGAGTTGGAAAAAATTACGTTTTCCAGGTGCATACATTTAATTTATACCTGACCCATTCTGACCCCGGGTTCGGCCTGGCAACTGGAAATACCCTTTTAATCGAAGATCTTTATATTTAATTTTCACTTTATGAATAAGTATTAATTAAGAAGCCATTTCGATTTTTTTTTTTTAACTTATGACCGTTTTTTAGAATTCGACTTAGCTTGTTGTAAGCGACAATATACAAGCAACAAGATTAATATTACCAGTACACACATATTTTAATTAAACTTGTTCTTACAGGATTAGATATATTTTGTTCAACCAAAAATGAAGGCATTTTAATTTGACTAAATAGACGAGGGTGTTGATGCTGATTAAGAATATTCTATTGCAATACTGTGATTGAAGGAGAACGATTTTCACCTGTTTTTATTACAATTTTATTTTGTATCTCCAGTTCTGCTTAACAAAAAATCTTGAGTGTTATTTCATGAATCAGGGAGTCCATCTGCACCGTAAAATAAAGGTTTGATCATGGAGGATTTTTTCGATTTAAATTTGTAAGCCTGTGTAATAAGCTGAAATAAACAAACAAATTATTATTAGACAAAAAAGCCTTGCTTAGGTAGGCAGTGGGAGACAATTGTTCCGTTGGAAAGTTTTTTTATTCGAACATAACTTTGCCAAATACAACTTTAGGTAATTTCTAATTTCAGGCAGAAGTTTTCAACGCAGTGAAAAATATATTTCCGATCATATAAAGTATATATATTCTTGATCCGCGTCACTAGTAGAGTCGATCTAGGCATGTCCGTCCGTTCCTATGCAAACTATTTATTTACCTCAGATTTAAAGCTATCGGCAAAAAAAATTTCCAAATGTTGTCTTCCTGTTGCGATAATGAATGTATGTCTAGACGAGACGGATTGGATAGCTAAAGTATATAGTTCACATAATCGGGCGAAAAAAGTTATAACTTCGCGGTATTTTAATTTTTTTTTAGTTTTTCGAGGTATAGTAATTGATTATTTCTGAATTATTTATATTGCAAAAAATAAAAGAACAAATATATTTTAACTTCTATACTTTCCAATTTTTTTTTTTAAATTTCGTTCATAGGAACTATCAATTTAAATATAAATATATGTTTTAGAGACTAATTTATTTAAATCGGACTTATTACGTAGCTGGAATCATGATATCTTCAATATTTTTAAACATATACGCATATAAATTTAAATTTGGATGTTTTAAAGAATATTAAATTTTTGCCATAGCTTTTTTCATTAATTCATTTTTTAATTAAGGGTCGGAAATGTCTCATTTACTGCGTTGTAAACTTCTAACTTCTAACTGGAAGGGTTATATGACTTTCTAAGCGTAATTAAGTATTAAGAATGTGTAAATAAACTACAGGCTACTAGAAAGTACAAAAATTAAATGTGCAAAAATCAATAAATATTTGCCTTCTATAAAGCAAAATTCGGCAAGCCGAAGTTTATATGCCCCTGCAAAAATTTAATATTCTCTGAATTATCTCAATTTCGAATCATTTTAGTATATGTTTAATTACATTGAAGCTATGAAGATTTTCAGCTCAATTATATTTGTAGTGCAGCTATATGATATCGTTTTCCGATTTTTATAAAACTAAAAGCGTAATTTATAATTATGAAACCATTCATATGTCCAAAAGAATTAAAAATAAAAAACTTTAAATTAGAGAAGTTAACATTTTGCTTCTTTTATTTATTAAATATTCCGATTGTTTGCATGGACTCTAAATGATAAAGTTGTCTGATTTTGATCAAATTTAAACCGCAATTCTTAAATATAAAAATCAATACCAAATATCGAAGAACTAACAAACAAGTCTAAAAACAGAAAACGTATAAATTTTTAAAAAAATTTTTGCTTGATTTTTTTTTGTCATTGATCGACTTTCCTAGTGATGCCGCTCAGGAATATATATACTTTAAAGGTTTGGAAATGTCTCCTTGACTGCAAACTTCTAACTGAAATTAGAATACCCTTTTATAAAAAATATTAAATGATGTTTTATTAAACCGGTACAATACCGGTAACGGCAACTCATGAACCGCAACTGAAATAAAAATTTTAAACCAAAACCGTAATAAAAAGTTATAAAGTTATAATGGTTGTAACCGTAACAGTAGTTAAACCGGTATTTGATTCCGTTCTAATCCGTGCTTCATACGGTCGGAAATGTATCCTTCACTGCGTTGCAAACTTCTGACTGAAATTAAAATACCCTCTGCAAGGGTATAAAAACTGCATTCCTTCGACGCGGCTATATTGTTGACACCTAAAAAATGTTAAGTATTAATATTTTGTTACAAAACTTCACTTTTGCTTACATTAACGATATTTTTGTTTTAAATCGCTTGATGTGGAGCTTTAAATCGCTGCTCTAATACCTCCCTTTTTGCTTGCATTTTTTTCAGAGGAGCTTCCCATGCAACCGATCTCAGTCTGACCACCTATGGGCATATTCACAGCAACAACAACAATAACAGCAGCAGCATGGGAGTTCCCGGAAAGGCAGTATCCCTAAAGCTGACCACGCCATTTAACGAGTCGGCCGCAGTGTTGAACCTATCCAAGTGCTCTTCACTGAACGTGAGCGGCGATGACTACTACTGCGACTACTATGTTAAGCCGGAGCTGGATCTCACGATGGGTGGTGGTGCCGGTAGTAGCAGCAGTGGCAGCAGCTCCGGCGGCGGCCCACTTCCGCTGCCCGCCCATCAGCACCAGGTGCACAACGACAGCCGGGTTAGCTCAACACGTAACGAGCACCAGCACCTACAAAACAGCTACGATGACATTGACGCCAGCTCGATTCACAGCGGGGACGAAGACCCCGGCCACGTATCCGACGGAGTGGAAGAGCTGGAGGCAATCGACGCTGACTTTCCCTATCCGCTTATCCTGGACTCCAACTCACGCGGGAGCACCAATGCTGGCGTGGATGAGGTGGCTTCGTCGCGCAAGCGCCGCCGCAACGTTGAGCAGGATGGTCTGGAGAGCGGCAATGGCGACGGCGATGCTGTAATTGATGGAGACGACTATGAGGAGCAGATGCTGCAGCAGCACCGCCATCTCCGGCAGCAGCAGGGCGCAGCTGTCACCGGAGGCCTGGATCTGCCACCCCCGCAAACTGTTCGTGAGGTACTCAACTCCAAGTTTTGTGGCTTTATCTCGGCTAAGCTGAACAGCATGGAGGACTCGGAGGCGGATAATTTAATGAACCGCATTCTTTTATTACTGGTTCAAGTGCAGCAGTGCGAAGGGTCCACTAAATAGGTGACCAGTGAGAAGAGCGCTTAATGCGCGGGGTGTAGCTATAATAGCCGAGAAAAGCTCATTATGGATTGATGCAGCTGCTCAAAGCACTCGCAACGAATTGATTTCTTGTCGTTCGTTTTGACTTCCCTTGCCATAAGAATTATAAAACTTACTTGCCAATGCCAAATTTGTGCCATACCAAAAATATCAATCAAGCAACTATAAGAATGGTTTTTCAAAGAAACACTTATTTGCTTTGCTCTCATTTACAACAAAGAAAAAACTCAAAGAAAAGACAACACAAAGACAAAAAACAAAGAAAGTAGGTAAAGTATGAGAATTAGTAAAATAAACCATTAAATGTTAATGTCGTTTTAAGTCTACCAACTGTAAATCATACTCATGCCAACGTTTCATCACATGATTCTATTCTTTTTCTTGAAACTATTATTACGATTTAAAACATAACCACCTTCTTGTTATATTGAAGATTTAGAAATTAGAATCCTCTATTGGAATAGCTTTTAATACACACTAGCTATCATTTTACATTCAGTTGAACAACGAAGTGAATATTTATAATTTTCTGAAAGCAAATAATTATGCTTTCCATATTTTATCATTATTTACGGTTTTGAATAAAACTCCATAAAATGTAGAGAAGGTAGTTTTTATAATCTCCGACTTGTAACTAAAAAGTTTACCAAGACTTGCTTTAATAAGCTCTTTGGAGTCTTACTTATTTTGGAACAGCTTTAAAAACAAAACAAAACAGCTCCTGCCTCACTCACAGCCCGCATGGCCCATAGCAAACTCATACTTATACATCGGGCCAGATGACACACATGCGATGCCGTAAATACCATCTTCAAACCATTAATACATAGGGCCTCACAAAAGCAAAGAACAAAGACAAAACATGAAAACAGCACATGCGCCACTTATGAGATCCTCGCACATTAGAAAGACCCAAGGTAAGCAGATGTAGCTATGCCAAACTGATACGGACCAAATCGCGACCGGGTAGCGCTGCTTATTAATGAAACCCGAAGACCAGAAGCAACTCAGGGCACCACGAGCAGATTGAGGCATATCCACATTGAAATCCAATGTAAACAACCCTTATCATGAGACTCGGCCTGGCCGAACCGAAGCCGCTAACAGCCGCAAACCCTTAAGAAAATTGCAAAATATCAGCCCTTACTACAATGCAGCAAAAACTGGTTTTCCTACCTAATGATGGCTGAATGGATTCATTGTTAGCCGTCTTTTAGTAACGGGTAAGGGATGCTGCTTGGGATATCGCTTGTGATTTGACGAAATGGGGCTAAACAAAAAATAGAGGCAAATAAAAAGAGATTAAAGTTCGGAAAGTTAAATAGTAATTGTATAGATCAAGGAATCTGTTCAAAATAACTTAAACCCTTTTTTGCGGCCAGAAAATCGTAAAAACTCATGGGTTTCAGAGGTTGAAAAACTCAAGCACTTTTTTTTACCCTTGCAAGGGATATTATAATTTTAGTCAAAAGTTTGAGACGCAAAGAAGAAAGCATTTCTAACCCTATTAAGGGGTCATACACAGTTAGAAGATCGAAAAAAAGTAACTTTTTTTCTGAGAAAATTGTTAAAGTTAATTATCTAATATTTTGTATACACATTATGTTATGTTTTAGCTGTATTTTAAGACTAAGTATTGAACAAAATATTTATTTGGAAATGAGCTACAGCTAATCTCCGGGAGCTCCTCTCGAAAAAAGCACTTTACGGCGACTATTATATCTTTGGACTGAATCCTCCGAAATTTAAAAATCAAAGAGATGTCGTTCAAGTAATGTTTAATCTAGTTATTAATCAAAAGAATAAGCTAAATAGATTTTATTAACAAAACAGCGGTTGCTCAAAAAAAAAATTGATTTTTGTGCCAAAATTTCGGTCTAAAATTGCATATAAAACAAGAAAGGAAGCAAATTTCGGCAAGCCAAAGTTTATATACCCTTGCAGCAATTTCAAAAACTAAATACTCTTTAAAACGTTTAAATTATGATTTACTAGCGTGTATGTTTAAAAACATTAAAGCTATGATGATGTGCAGCTTAATTATTCGATAGTTCCTATGGCAGCTCCTATGGGAGCTATATGCTATAGTCGTCCGATTTTGATGAAATTTAAACCGTAATTCTGAAATATTTAACCATTACTATATCTCGAAGAACTAAAAAAAAATTAAAAAACACCAAAGTTTTAAATTTTTTATTTTTATGATTGTTCCTATGGGAGCTATATGCTATTGTCGTCCGATTTTGATGAAATTTAAAACGTAATTCTGAAATATTTAACCATTAACTAAAAAAAAATTAAATTTTTTTTTCGATTATTCCTATGGGAGCTATATTATATAGTCATCCGATCCGGCTCGTTCCGACTTATATACTACCTGCAATAGAAAGACAACTTTTGGGAAAGTTTCATGCAGATAGCTTTAAATCTGAGTTTGTGTAGAAACGAACGGACAGACGGACAGACTGACAGACGGACGGACAGACGGACGGACAGACGGACATGGCTAGATCGACTCTACTAGTGATGCTGATCAAGAATATATATACTTTATAGGGTCGGAAACGTCTCCTTCACTGCGTTGCAAACTTCTGACCAAAATTATAATACCCTCTGCAAGGGTATAAAAATATTTATCGGAAAAAAAATTAATTACTAAAAAACATATTTAAGAAGCTCGAGTTAAAATTAAGACTAATCGGCTTAGCCGATTTTAAGTAATGTTGGTCACCGACTTTCAAAACACCAATTTGAGTAAAACGCGTTAAAGTTTGTACTTGCACCTTCAAGCACTCTGAAATGCCTTTAACAATATATTTTAAATTTTCAGTGTGTATTCTTAATTATCAGGCCTGTTCCAGTTTTTACTTCCGAAAGATTCACACGGAATCTATATTCCCTCTATTACTTTTCTGTTAGCTTCCATAAAAATCTCACGGAGACTTTTCGACAAGCATTTGACTTCTTTTAAAATACTTTACGAAAAGGTAAGTGCTAATAATATTTTTACCTTATTCTTTGATGTTTTAAGAACATTGTTGAATAACAGATTTGGTTATAAGTAGCATATTTGACTTTTTAAAATTTATTTTGTGGTGGCACCTCAGAATCGCTTCGATTCTAACCTAATGGAGTTTTGCAAATCATCCGCCCCTGTCCTAGTTTCCGAACGTTTTGATAAAAACAAAGCAAGGGACGAAAAAAAATAATTATTTTCTTGGGACTTTGGTTTTACATGGTAAGAAGTGTAAATTATCTAAGTTAAGTTTAAAGTGTTTTTGTTCTTTCTACCCTTTTATTTAATATACTTATTGTGCAAACCGTGTTGTGTTGGGACCTTTTTCATCGTCTTTGGCAACTTTGGTCCCAAACACTACATAAGAAAAGTTTGCAAGCAGCTGATTCACACGAGTGGTTCAACACTTTTGCTAAGCAAAATTTGTTATTTTTGTCTACCAATGATTTTTTGACTGAGTTTATACAATAAATCTGTCCACCAATAATGCACAAAGATTGGGAACAGCAGCGGGCAAATGTTGATAAGGGATTTGCCTGGAAAACTTAGGCAAATCATAGGCTTCTGTTAAGAGCAGTAGCGACAGTCAACTGTTTAAGGATAATTTCAAGTCTAGAACTAACGAATGTTTTTTCTGTGATACCCTAGGGAGTCGAAAGCGTATCGACTATATTCCCTGATAAGGCGTGCTGTTGTAACTCATGAATACAGGATGGTCCACAGAAATTGTCAAATGGAGTCAATGCGTTCTCTTATGGTGAGCTTGAAAAATAAGTATTCATGGAGATTCCAGACCATTTCTATGAGTTCATGAAAAAATAAGAGTCTGGTGCGCAAAGCAGCAAGCACCCTCTGCGGAATATACCTAAGCTGGAAGTTCTCAGTGATTCACGAATCCTGTTTGCTTAATAAGGAAGGGTTTAATTTCGATCTTCACCCAACCGAGCAAATTCCGTGCTCTTTCGAAAAACTACAGAAATTAAAACTTGTGCAGGTTACGATCTACGTTGACGGCTTGTTATTGGCATCAAATGACTTAGAATGGCTGCGAGAACAAAGGAAAATTTAACCAAAACAAAAATTATTTGTTGTTGAACGTTGATGCACTATAGCCAGTACAAACATGTGGCCCAACAAAAGTACGAGCTTGATACACGCGACCCTTTTATTCATTGTGGATGATTGAATTCGCCAGGAAAACACTTATAAAATCATATAGAAACATTTATAAAAATATTCAAACTTAGTATGGCTCTGATATTTCAAAATTGTAGTTTTCAAAACAGGGATAGAGGTTGGAGTTCAAAAGAGAGGTAGAGCTTTACGGCGTGGTAGATGCAGACCCCAGTGTAAATTACAAAAATTGAAAACATCTGTTATAAACACGTGACACGTGACATTAAACCATTTAAATGGTAGAAGTGTCGCGAGCGAAGATTAATTTAGAAGATTAATTTGATCGCCCGCGATGATTGCTTTCTAATCTTATTTTGGGAGAAAGTGGGCATCTAACGCGCGTCTTCAGTCTTTCGGAAGAGTCGCTGGAGACATTTTCTAAAAGGATCGCTTAAGTGTCGCCTGAACGAGCGTTATAAGATTATAAGAGATTTTTATACCCTTGCAGAGGGTATTATACTTTCAGTCAGAAGTTTGCAACGCAGTGAAGGAGACATCTCTGACCCTATAAAGTATATATATTCTTGATCAGCATCACTAGGAGAGTCGATCTAGCCATGTCCGTCTGTCCGTCCGTCTGTCCGTCCGTTTATATGCAAACTAGTCTCTCAGTTTTAAAGCTATCTGCATGAAACTTTCCCAAAAGTTGTCTTTCTATTGTAGGTAGAATATAAGTCGGAACGAGCCGGATCGGACGACTATAGCATATAGCTCCCATAGGAACAATCGGAAAAAAATACAAAAAATATTATAACTTTTTAACATTTATAACGTTTTTCAATTTTTTCTATTAGTTTTTCGACATATAGTAATGGTTCATTATTTCAGAATAATGGTTTAAATTTCATCGAAATCGGACGACTATATCACATAGCTCCCATAGAATTAATAAAAATATATAAAATATGTATCTAATTATAGAGCTGCAAATCATCAAAGCTTCAATGTTTTTCAACATATACGCAAGTAAATCATAATTTTAATGTTTTCAAAAGTATTTAAATCTTGCAATAGCTGCAAGGGTATAGGAACTTCGTCTTGCCGAAGTTTGCTTTTTTTCTTGTTTCAATTTTCTTATAATAAAATTTGTTTGTTCTTTATTTTTACACAAATTCGACAATTATAAATAAAATAAAAAAAATAAATTAAACAAAAAATAAATTTTTAACAAAAGCAAAAATATAAAGAACTGAATGACATTTTTCCTCTGTTCCGCGCAAGGTAAAATTAACACATAAATCACTGTTTTTAAAGTGTTCCATAAGCATAAATATATATTAAGAAAAACCATTTCCATTTTGTTGTATAATTTATAATTAACAAGAAAATAGCAAACTTCGGCAAGCCGAAGTTCATATACCCTTGCAGCTATTGCAAGAAATAAATATTTTTGAAAATGTTAAAATTAT